CAAAGATGAGCAGGTAGCGGTCGTGAGCGAAGTGACGGCTTGCGAGCGGTGGGTGTTGTGAATGAGCAAATGAGCAGCGCGGTAGGGGTGGTAGGTAACCCGTATATGTATATATGCAAAATGATTTGCGAACGACGGTTGATAGTTATAATGGGTAAATCAGCGGATAGAAGAAACATAGATGCTTGTGTGTCATATGGGCGTTCCTTAATGGCTAAATTCTCATAGATGAAATGAGGGGATGATAAAAGTGAATCAGAGAAACATATAAAATATAATACGAAATGACTGAAGAAATGCATGTGATCATACTTGTTCATTTAAATTGGATTCCCAACTCGTTGGTACTTGACCTTAAGAGATTTAAAATAAGACTTCAATGACACTTATATTCATAACATTATAAGCAAAAAAAACTATTGTCACTAGAAGTTTTTTAGACCCGTTAGACAATCGTCTATGTCCAATTAATCATGTTGAAATATGTTTCATTAATGACCTTATCCTTCTGATACATCTCTTTAAACAAAATTGAATTCAAATCGATAATTAAACATGTCAGAAAAGCTTCCGCTACTTAACCACCATGAACTACCTAAATAAATTAGACTTTGATAATCAATTCTTCTGAAGAACTTTCCACAGCATGTCAAGATTCCAAACTTAAACAATCAAATACAAACTTGAAATTATGGATGAAATTGCAGAGAAAAAAATCATGATATTTGATTAACACTATAAAAGCAATAATTCTACATTTATAAAGTTGTAAATAAAACAGTAACAAAGCAATAAATCTGGCTATAAAAGCAACTAAAATGAGCAGTTACTCCCCCGACCTCCTCTAACTAAAACTCTATCGGCTACTGGGACTGTATAGTAGAACTACATATGGCTTGATCCTGTTTTGGTAGGTAGGCAACCCATTTTGCACAACCATAGCTATATATATATAAATAAAAAAATAAAAAAAAAAAACTAAGAGAACTCCCTTACCGGATTGGAGTTCTCGAAAGTTGAACAGAGTAAAAGCAATGTAAACACTTGAGTGTAGTGTAGCGTTGTATACAAATGAAATCTGACCCTATTTATAGAATTTATGGGCCAGTAGTTTGCAGTAGTTGAGCGGTTATAGAGCAACAGTTGTGAGCAGTTAAAAGGTTGTTGCAACCGCTGGACAGTTAAGCAGTTAGATAGTTGATCAGTTAGGATTGTCTGCCCTAACTCCCAGCTCGCTCGATCGTTTGTTGTACTGATATGGCTGGGATACAAATTTTCCCCGCTTGCCTCACTACACTTCTCTTGGCCGGAAGACATCGACACAATTCAAGCCGTGCTATTGTCACTGCCCGATAACTGAATGGCTGGCCGCTGAGAGATCAACACTTAGACAAATCTGGGATTTTTTGGATCTCGTTGATCAGCGGTGGATGTATGGATGGACTAGCTTGGGTGCAAGCGGAAAGAGCGTTGCTTGACATAGTTGGCTGCACCCTTGCTAATCTTCCACAGTTAGATATTTTCTGAGCTAGAACATCTCTTAAGTAGAGTAAAAACACCAATAATCTCCACAAGCAGGCTTTGGATCATATCAAACGAAACAAATCAATAAAATATACCATAAATCAGATATTGTGATTATTTTAACATAAAATTTCAGAAAATACATAATTATCAAGCAGTAAATATATTATTATTTGGAGTTATCAAGAGTATTTACAAGTGAGTATTTTATTTAAATAAATATTTATCGGGTACTTTTTTTTATGAAAGTAAATTGTTGCTTCAAAACTGTCCATGTGAGAGGAATTCGCCTCTGAGAGCGAAAATGACTTCCGGACCAAAAAATGACAGCTTGAGCGAAGTCAACATAAAGTCAACAGTCAATGCAAAACATCAACGTTCAACAAGATTACAAAATCAACGGCCAATGAAAAAATCAACTCATGAGAAAGGTCAAAATCAACAGTTAATAAGGAAAAATTCGTGCATGAAAAGTCAATAGTCAAGTGCAGCAGAAATTTAAGTGAGCAAAAATCTGTGCATCATATTGAGCGAACAATTAATCTTGCATTAGTTTCAGCGGAGCGACGCATTTATTGATCAACTTAAAGACATTTATGTTGAAGAGATCCATTAATTCTGCCTTAAGTTAAGCGAACATTAAATCCCAATATTTATGAGTTGATATCATTTATAAACGAGCATTTATCGCTGCAATGACACATTAATTCTACCTCAAGTTAAGCAAACATGAAATCCCAACATTTATGAGTTGAGATCATTTATGAGAAGCATTTATCGCTGCAATGACACATTTATGGTTGCAGTGACAGTTTTAACTCTTTATAGAATCTCAGCGACATTTCCTCTGTGCAAAATTTCACTCTGCATTAACTCTTTACCAAATTTCACACAGCTCATGCATTCTCCCAACTAATGTATTTAATTTCTTGTATCTGAACTTAGCCAATGTTTGGTTGCTTATGTATTTTTATTCTAGAATATATGTAGCTATTAGCAAATTAGATGTTATTAAAAAATTATAAAGAATTATTTATGGATAGTTGTAACTGTCAACTTCTAAAAATCCCCCCTTTCACTATAAATAGTCTCTTTTCACCATTTATTATGCACACCATACAACACACAACACATCACTCTATCACCCAAGATACTTCATTTTCTTTATATCTTTTTTTTCTCATATTTTTATCCAATTTGATAATACGAATTTTTTCAGTTTCGTTTCATGAGCAAGTTTATTCTCTTTAGCTTATGAAGTTTCCTATCATACTTCTCCACTCCAAAATCTTTATGTTCACACTAGAATTGTTTACGTTAGATTTTTTATAAGATTATGGAGTGTAGATAGAAGGGTTAATTATTCATGGCTAGGATTGTGTTGCAATAACATAGATTAGGTGATTCGTAGCAATTAAGTACGTACAGAGCTTTTTTGAACTACTTAGTTGTGAGTTGAATTTTACATCGATTAAAGAAAGGTCTTAAATGAGTAAAGCTACTAGCGAAATAATGTAAGAATGATTAATTAGACATATGTGTTTGCCTATCGGGTCACAGAAATATCCAGTGATATTGACTTTTCTTTTATATAATATTCTTAACTGAGTGTTGCTAAATCCTCATTGTAACATCCCTAAGTTTAAGTATCAATCGAGTTAAGAGTTGGGCATAATCGAACAAGTATGATTACACTCATTCCTTTTAATCGCTTCGCAATTATACATATATTATTCTCTACCACATTATCGTCATCCCGCTTATTTCTTCTAAGGTGATCAAGCCATTTAGAAACACAAATATCACTCACAAACATCTCATTCCATCCTATTTTCTATACATATATTTCAGCGTAGACATATATAATTGTATTGAAATATAAAATTAATTATTAATACTATAATATACAAAAATAAAAATAGTGGGGTAATTGAATATTTTTAAGAGAAATATTTTTGATAAATAGAATTTTAGACAAAATTTTCAAAAAGAATATACTCGACAAGCTTTTATAATTGAACTAAGATTGATACATTTTAATTATATTAGGATTACTATTGATTTTTTCCATTTTAATTATATCAATTATTCTAAATTCAAAATACTTTTTTTAGAAAATGAATAGTGCTATATATATATATAAAAAAAAAAAAAAAAAAATAGACCAAAACATACACGGTAGCGTAGAATTATACATGACCGTGTATTATTGTACATTGAAATATATATGGTCGTGTATAATTGTACATGGTCGCATACTTTCTAGGTCAGCTGTCATGTCAACCCCATTACGTCTACGTCAGCCATTTCCGTTAGTTTTTTAACGGTTGGGTCAAAATTGATGAAAATTGTTTATAATGGGACTAAAATTGATAAATTTTTGTTATATTTGGACCAAAATTGATTTTTTCCCATAATTATTTTATATTCCCTCCGTCCCATAACAAAATATCCATTTGCCTTTTGCGTCATTGTACTTAACATTGAAAATATCATTTATTTGTATAATTTTTTATACAAATGTCATTATATTAGTATTATAAGACACCAATAGAAGTATTTTTGTCATTTTCTCTTTATTTGTAATACGATTTGATATAATAATTAATATTCAAATATCAACACGCAAAAAGTAAATGGATACCTCGTTATGGGACGGAGGAAGTATATAAAATCAAATGGCAAAAATATCAAAATTTCTTACATACTTCTACTAACTAATAAAATATTACTCTCCCGTCTCATAAGAAGAGTATCATGTGTTTTTTGGGTATAAATATTTTAATATTAATTATTATATCATATGTAGTACAAATTAAGAAAAAAATTATAAAAATAATTCTATTAATCTCTTATAATGCAAAAATAATAATATTTGTGGAGTAAATTATACAAAAAAAAAAAATTATGCATTTCTTATGGGAGAGATATAGTACTCCCTCCGTCCCACAATAAGGGTTCCAGTTTCTATTTTCGTCCGTCCCAAAACAAAGGTACTATTTTCTAATTTAGTAATTGTACCACCTACCTAACATAATAAATACTTTTTCAATTTACAATATATTGCACAAATGTTACCACCTTTATATTATACAATACTAATACAATTATTTTCGTCTTTTTACTACAACTCAATATAATACTAATATTAAAAAATCTATGTGAAAAAACAAATGTTACTCTATATATGAGACGAAAAGAGTATTATTTTTTAATTCATTACAAAATATTAAAGCGTACATTTGAGATAGAAAAAGTAAAAAAACAACATAAATAGTCTTAATAAGAATCGTATAGTAATGTGAGAATACCTCGTGACCGAGTTATAGGTTCAAACTCAAACAAATTAGATAGTAAAAAAATTTTACTACTAATAATATTTAACGTAGCGAAAATTGCAGTCCCAATTTATACATATATATATATATATATACGTGTGTGTGTATATATAGCGCTATTTAATGACCCCACCTACCTACCTACCCACCCACCCAAGCAGCCAACCAAGGTTTTCCCCTCCGCGCCCATTTCAGCCCTCACAAGGAGAAACATACATGTCTCCCCACGCCTCACCGCCCACCGCTGCTTTTCTACTTCTTTTTCTGTCCGCCGTTGCAGGCGATGGCGCCGCGGCGGCGAGGGTCCCGGCGGTGATAGTATTTGGAGACTCGTCAGTGGACGCCGGGAACAACAACCAGATATCGACGGTACTGAAGAGCAACTTCCGGCCGTACGGGCGCGACTTCTTCGGCGGCCGGCCGACCGGGCGGTTCTCGAACGGGCGGATACCGCCGGACTTTATATCGGAGGCGGTGGGGCTGCGGCCCTTCGTGCCGGCGTACCTGGACCCGATGTACGGAATCACAGACTTCGCCGCCGGCGTATGCTTCGCTTCTGCCGGCACCGGTTTTGATAACGCTACCTCTAATGTCCTCGTAAGTACCGTACATCATATATACATACATACACCTTGGCGTTCACTTTATTTTTTATTTTTTCATTAATCTAATTTTCTTTAAAAATAATACTCTTTCCTTCTTTTTAATGATTATTTATTTATTTATTTTAGTTTGTGCATAATAAATTATTTTTTTTTAGTAATTGTATTTTTTATTAATATTAAAAATATTCTTATAATTTATAATATATATACACATTATTACTGTTATATCACACATTATTAATAATATTATTTTAATTTATTTTCTTTTATTTATACCACATTCTAATATAATATTAATATTCTTAAAATTTTGTAAAAAAAAATGTAAATAAATAAATAGATAAATGACGGAAAAGTAACAATACTTGGATTCAATTATTTAATCTAAAAAATATATTTAAAAAAAAAAAAAAAGCCCCTCTCTTATTTTAGTATGTAATATTCTAACCATCAAATTGTACTTACTGCAGTGTAATAAAGTTATAGACAAAATATCCATTTACAAAAATACTTCTTCTGTCCTGGAATGTTTGCATGATTTGTGTATTTTATTATTATTGTTATTATTATTATTATTATTTGCAGTTTTTAAGTGGTATAATTTAATTTTTATAGGATGTGGTTTGTTTATAATGTTTTTATAAATTGCATTAAGAATATAAATTAAAAAATTATTTATAAATAAAGAAAAAATGTAAAAGAATCTTGGAATATAATATATATGTGATTATTTTTATTTTTATTTCTAATATCAATGTAAATGCAATATTTAAAAAAAAAAAAGAAAAAAAAAAAGAGAGAAGAAGAAGAAGAAAAACCGAGATTTATAATTAATGTAATATATTTTTAAAAATATCAAAATCAAAATGCTGCAAAACACTTGAACAAACTATTATACTTTTGTAGTACATAATCTTTAAAATAATTATTTTAATTTATTATTATTATCAATATTATTTAAGAAGGGCTACAAATGACATCACATATTAAGGAGATAGCAAAAACAAACCCTAGCTAAATTACCATGGATTTTGACTATTCAAATTATTATTTTCCTTAAAAAGTATAAATAAAATAATTATTTTTCCCTTTCTATATTATACTTACAAATTTAATTATTTTTTTTTATTTATATCTCATTAAACAACTATTCAAATTAAATTTTTTTACTGTTAAAAAGTCCAAGCAAAAAACTCAAATTCAAATCCAAACCCAAACCCAAACCCACAAACAAACACAACTTGTGTGTTTGCTTAATTTTCTCTAAAATTTATTATTTATCAAATTTTTTTCTTTTAAAAATATCAAATCAAATAACCATTTTTATTTTTTATATTATAGTACGAATCAATTTTACATTCAAAATATCATATCAACACTCATTTATATCACATTATACAATTATTCTAATTCAAAAATTTTACTATTTCAATTTCAACTCAAAATCCAAACCCCGCACAAACATCAGGTCAAATTATTATTTAAAGCAAATTTAAAATAAAGAACTCAAATAAAAATCAAATAAATCATAATACATGAAATATGTCTTTGGCCCTTTTGATAAAATTCTAAGAAGAATAGAATTATAGAAAAATATTATATATTTAATATAATACTCCCTCCGTCATTTAAATCTATTCTCATTTTTCTTTTTTTGTTGTCATCCAAATTTATTTTCACTTTCCTTTTTTGGTTGTCATCCAAATTTATGATATTTTTTTTAGTAAAAAAATATCATTTTTTTTTACCAAAAAAGTAAAAATTTTTATTTTTATATGTTTTTCTTAAAATCCGTGTCTGATCAAATGAGTAGACAATTGGACAACGGACGAGTAATTAACATAGTGTATCTATGAACAAAGGAACTTGCAATAATGGGCTAATTTTGGGAAGGGCATTTGAGTCAAATAAACACGGCCTTAATAATAGTTTACCTACATTTGTGTGTGCGAAATTAATGATCATAGTTAATGTTTGTCTGATGAAGTGAGGGCCGTTGGATTTCACATGATCATTTATAGCCGTTGGATTTAGGGTTTATGTATATTCATTCATTGTGACATATATATTACATTTAATTATATATGTGTTAATTATTAGTATAGGAAATAAGACGTTTCTGTATTGTACTTTATATACTCTTCTAAAACAATTTACAGGGGAGTAGGGTTGTCTTTTCGATTTTCTTTCTGCATTATATAATTTATCCTAAAATATTTCCTATATAAAAATAATATTACCTTCGTCCGATTTAAAGGTCTTATTTAGTTTTTACGTGTTAATCTTTGAATATTAATTATTGTATAAAAATGTAGTACAAATTAACGAAAAATGAGAAAAATACTTCTATTAGTGCCTTATAATACTATTATAATGATATTTATGTAAAATATTATACAAATATAAGAATATTTTTAATGCTAAATATAATGACGCAAAAAATAAATGAGATCCTTAGACCCGGACGAAGGAAGTATATTTTTTTTTATAAATATCATAACAAAAATTATTTCTCCGGTAAAATTTTTCAATTTAAAGGCACTGTATAGACATGTCTAACCAGAGACTTTTGGAGTTATAAAAGTTTCAAAAAAATAAAAAAATACTAATATTTGATGTGATATTTTTTTTCAAAAATAAATAGTATCATATAATTGAAAGTTGGTGTGTAAATAAAGCTATTTCAAAACAAAAGTCTTTAACCTACATTTTTACAGAACGTGCTACCGATATGGAAAGAGATCGAGTTGTACAAGGACTATCAAAACAAACTAAAAGCCCATGCGGGCGAATTAGAAGCGAAGAAAATAATATCGGAGGCGCTCTATTTGATTAGCTTAGGAACAAACGACTTTCTAGAGAACTATTATAGTCTCCCGAGCACGCGCTCAAGATATAGAACAATTGATCAATTCCAAGACTACCTTCTCGGGTTGGCGGAGAATTTTTTAAGAGAATTGTATAGTTTGGGGGCTCGAAAGATGTCTTTAACGGGCCTCCCTCCGATGGGGTGTCTACCGTTGGAGAGAACAAGAAATTATGTCAATGGGAACGGGAATGGATGCATGGAGGAGTACAATGCCGTGGCATTGCGCTTCAACGGGAAATTGAGAGGTTTGGTTAAGAGAATGAACTCGGAGTTGAGTGGTATTCGCGTCGTGTTCTCAAATCCTTATGAGGTTTTCGTGCAAATCTTGAGGAACCCTTCTCACTTTGGTAAGTTTTTCGATGTTCTTGATTTCCTATATATTTATTTATTTATTTATTTATTTTGATTTTATAAATTTTAAATTCTTATGATTTTGATTTTAATTGCTCGTGTTTGCTTAATGGACAATTAAGACGACACAGAGCGACTAACATCAAAATTACAAATATTCGACATTTTTACCATAAAAGTGCGATACAAACAAATTAGGAGATGATTGCTTAATTAAAAAATTCAACACATGTGCTGATGTTTTGATTCAATCATTAATCATGTCATTTTTTTACATAATTAATCATTAATTATATCGTGTAATTGTATAATTTAATTACTCATAAGCACAAGTGCTGAATTACAACAATAAGTATTTGATCCTATCCGAGCAAACTATAAAATAAAAATGATAATTTTGGACAATAAGCGATAAACATTACAAGTGTTTTACATGAATTAAAGAAAATTTTTATTGAAAAAATAGTATAATTTAAAAAAAATATGGTTTATAACTTTTTTTTTGTATTTTTGGAATTTTGTTGTGAGGTATGTCAATGTAAGTTTCTAAAGAGATCCTTATACTAAAACTACATCACTTTGTCCACCTATTAAAAAATAAATAAATAAATAGAAATAATGACATTTTAATATAAAATTAGATATGTAAAAAATAAAATAGAAATATTATAAATATATATATATATATAATAAGAAGTTGATAAAAAGTAAAAGTATTATATAAGATTTATTAAGGAACTAGTTGATAAAATAAAATAAAATAAAATAGAAAATGGTGGTAAAAAGTAACTTAATGTATAATTATTTTTTTAAATAATAAATTATAAAATTATAAATGAATAAAATATCTTATTATAAATATGATATGCATATGTTTAGTCGAGAGTACTTAAAAAAAAAGTGATACTATAATTTTGACAGTCAACCTAATTTAAGATAAATAAATTAATAATTAATAAAAACATTTTGTACAAAAGACATAAACTACAGTTGGCTCCATTGTCTCCTCCCTACTACTTACTCTGCTAATGCCATACATACACACAATGTATCTCTATGTGTATATATACAGAGACGAAATTACACTAGGGTTTGGAGGCTCAATTGATCCCCAAGCCAAATTTTTTATAAATTTTTTAGTATTAAAAATATTAAATTTTATGTATTTATATATAATTTGTCTCCTCAAAACTATCTAAATTCATATATAATTCTTTCATTATTATTTATTTAAATTTGTTAGCTAAATATTAAATAAATTATAACATTTTACCCCCGGGAATTTAGATGCTAATTTCGTCACTATATATATATATATTTGGTATGTGAGATCGGAGAGACAGAATAAGATTTTAGATTGAGGATCTCATCATGCTAATATCTATAGGTATGTTTCTATAGTTTTTGTTAAGTGATTATCTTACTTAAAAATTTTAATTTTAAAGAAACACTTGTTATTAATTATTATATAGTCAACTAACAATTCTAATCCAACCAGTTAGGTAGAAAAATTTAATTTCTATCATACATTTTTCGAGTCAATGCGGCGATAATCAATTGAAAGTATATATTAGTTTGTTAGAGTAAATATTAGTAGCGAGCTAGAGAGATTGAGATGGTTATCAAATAGTAAAATTAAAATATAGATATAGCACATATTTTTATTTCACACAGCACATGCGGTGTGAAATAAAGATATATGATAAATATATTATGTGCTAAAATCGATTGTTAAGCATAGTGTAGAAAACTGTATTATGTGTTCTTACTTCATAGATTGTATTATATTATGTTAATATAATAATATGTTGTTTGTTAGCACACAATGAGCTTTCAACACAGTACTAAATTTTAAAATTCAGCATAATAACCACCACCTAGAGAGAATTAAGTTCAACTATGTATTTCGATTTTGTTTAGATCTATCTTTGAGGTATTTTTGTCATGCAATATGCATATATATAACTGAGATTAAATGTTTTGAAAAATCGACAGGTTTTGAAGTGGTATCGGTTGCTTGTTGCGCTACGGGTATGTATGAAATGGGATACTTATGTGATCAAATGAGCCCATTTACTTGCGCGGATGCGGGCAAATACGTGTTTTGGGATTCTTTTCATCCGACGCAAAAAACAAGTGAGATCATTGCGGATCACTTGATGAAGCATAGTTTGCATCAAATTTTATGAAATATATATATATATATTCGCCCTTATTATTACTTAATAACTTTGTAACGTCAAGTAATTGCAACGTATTTATCTAGCAATGACATAATGAATGAGTAATTAAGTTAATTATTATGCTACTATTGAAGCTTATTTTTTGCAAGATGCTGACGGTTTGGATTTTCGATTTGTTTTAAATATAAATATTTTGAATTGAGAAAATGATATTATATTTAATTTTAGTATAATATAAAAATTAAAAATAAATTTTCTCCCTTTTTTTTTTTATAAACAATGAAAATTCTAAAACAATCCTACTAACCAAACACAATTATTATTCACCTCCTTATTGAGAAATACACATGTGAAGTGGTTAATAATAATAATAATAATAATAATAATAATAATAATAATAATAATAATAATAAACAATGGAATTTAAGTTTTGTTAATACAATTATAATTTTTAAATTTTGATTAATGATCATCCTTATCTATTTAATAAAATATTATTATTATAAAATTATTCAAATATATTTTTATCTTTTAATCAAAAAAATAAAAACATTTTTTTGACAAACAATATTAATAAAATATCATTTAAATCAAAAATTTAAATAAAAAAATTTTAATCTCAAATAACCACCAAAAAAACCTTTCCTATTACCTTTTATTGATATTATCTTATTTTTTATAAAATATAATAATAAATTTTAATATGAAATATTAATATATATATATATATATATATATTGAAATATTTAAATGGTTGATTTTTTCAATAACAAACTGGCGGTTCGAACTAGGTTTAAAAAATTGATTTATGTTTGGATTTAACTCGGTTGAAATTGGTGAAATTTTACATTACTTTATTGCTTCTCACATTATATTATCTAAAACTATTATACCAAATAAACAAATGTGTTTGTTTTTTATTTATTAGTATATTTCTTTGAAACTTTGGTATTTCTTTTTTAGTTGAATGAATCACTACAAAAAAAAAAAATAAAATAAAATAATTGAAATTTAGTTTTAAAAAAAAAATCGTAGGCAAAGGTAATGAATTAATAACAAAAATATTTTTGAGACGAAACTCATTTCTTCGACTATACCACATTAATAATGGTCTTTGGTGACAAATATGGCTTTCGTAATAAAAAAATGTAATGAAAAATAAGAAAAGAGATATAACTACTGATTTCGTAGGTAAAGCTCTATTACTATAAAATTAAAATTCATAACAAAAGAGTTTCAGTAACAAAATATGTATGATTTTTTTAGCCAAATGGTTTTAGTCATGAAAAATAATTATGTAGTTAAAACGTTTTTGCTATTGAAATAGTAACGAAATTAATTTTATAATACATAATTTATTTTTAGCGATGAAATCAATTTTTTTTGCTAAATCACATGTTTTTAACTACAAAAATATTTCATAGTGAAAAATATTGTAGCTAGTTAGTTACTTTTTTTTTTGTGGTGAATTAAGAATCGAAAATAGTAAATTGAAGAATATTTGAGTAATTGAATTGTTCTTTTGAAAATTTATGTTATTTTTATTTTTAGGTTGGTTATTGAACTATGACAAAAAATTTCAAAGAAAAAATCATAAATTCCCTTTTTAAAAGAATGCAAACTTGTATAGTCGGTATTGAATCAGAGTTGCTACCAATTGAAAGATATTCAAAAGTCAAATAGCGATGATTTGAATGAGGATAAAAAATCATTATTAATGTGTGCAAGATTTGAACACGAAGAATCAGATATTCATGAATTGAAAAAGATTTAAGAGACTAATCATGATTTTATAACTGGTAACACAAGATTACGTCTTCAAATGTAGAATTATCCAATTGCGTAGCGAAATGAAATAAAAGAGTTTATATCAATCTTGGACCGTACCAACCTTTGGTTGATTATCCTCGCACTGGCCCATAAGGATATCGTTACAGTTTTGAAATAGCATGTTCAAGAACTTTCATTGGCTTGAATATTCACCATAAAAGGATATTGTCTATTGTCCTTCATGCTATTGTTTCACTAAAAAACCACTTAGAATAGATGGATCAAATGCATTTATAGCAAAGAGATTTATAAATTAGAAAAAAATTGAATTTACCTTTATTGATTTATGACGGTAAATATTCTACTTCATCTTTAAAAAATCAGTGATATCATTTAGAGCAATTGATTGGAAAATAAAATTTGAACAAGATGGAAAAAATAGATTGCGGTTGAAAACTTTAATTGAAGCCGTTAGATAGCTTGCATTTCAAGGTTGTGTATTCCATAATCATGACGAAAGGTTTAATGATTTTTTTTTCCTAAAATTCTTAAACTATTAGAATCTTTTAACAAATATATTAATAATGTTGTATTAGAAGATGTCCTTCAAAATGTTAAATACACATCTCCGAATATTCAGAAAGAGATTTTGTATATTTTTGCTATGAATGTGCAAAAACATATTTGTGATAAAATTCGTGAAGCAATTTTTTTATTTATTTATTGTTGATGAGGCTCATGATTAATATAAAAGTGAGCAGATGGTTATTGTTGTTAGATTTGTTGACCAAAATGGATATATCAAAAAGATTTTTGGATTTAATATATGTCACAGATAAATTAGCATCGACTTTAAAGAAATATCTTATGCATTATCTCGTCATAATCTATACAGTCAAGATATTCATGGTCAATAATACGATGGAGTTAGCAATATGTGTGGAGAGTGTAGTGGTTTATAAGCTTCATTTTTTAAGAAATGTCCTTATGCATATTACATTCATTATTTAGCACTTCAACTGCAATTTATTCGTGTTGCGGCATCTAAAGATGCCATTGAAGCACACAATTTTTTCTAAGAAGTTGAGTTTTCTTGTTAACATTGTTGGTTCTTCTTGCAAACATAATGAACAATTGTATATAGCTCAAATTGCAAAAATTTCGTACATGCTAAAAGTTGAGAAGCTTAAAATTGGAAGATATGCGAATCAAATTGCAACTCTGCAAAAAGCATGTGACACGAGATAAAGTTCACATTTCAAATCAATTTGTAGTTTGATGATATTATTTGGCCCAACAAAAATAGTATTAGAAGATTTTATTGTAGAAGGGTCTACAACTTCTCAAAAAGATGAGGTTTCCTTTTCACTTCAGCAATTATCGTTATTTGATTTTGTTATTTTTATGCATTTGATGAAAGAGTTGATTGACATTATTAAGAAGCTTTGTCAAGCATTATAAAAAAGATCTCAAGATATCATAAACGCATTCTTCACTCTCCATGAATTATAAGTAAAAGAACTCTGACAATTATGGTCATTAATTGAGCAATATTACAACCAATTGTTGTGTGATCACATAAGCGTTTACGTTTTGACTTTGTATGATATTTGTATGTAACACAAATTAAAATTTTATTTTTTATATTATACTCCTCCAATCTAAGATATACTAATTTATTTATTTTTTTCACGTATGTAATTTGTAAGAAATTTTTAAATTACGTTATAAATATAATTAATAAAAAGTAAAACAGATATAAGGATTTGTTCACTCCATCTATTTTGAATGGTACAATTCTTTATAAATATTATAAAAGAAATATAATATATACATATTAACATAATGTATATTCTATTCACCCATAAAAAATCAATAATTCACTACAAAATATTACTTTTTATATTACCAATATAATTTTTCATACTTAACATAAAAAACATATTCATCCAAAAACACAAAATGAACATATCATTGATTTTAGACTGATCAAAATGAAAAGAAAAAAAAAATGAAAAGAAAAGAAAATAGATACATTGATTCTTGACGAAATAGGTATTAAAAATTAATTTTAGATTAAAAATATTATACTAGTATTTATTTATGTAAGATCAAATAATTATTCAAATTCAAAATATTGATTATTTAAAAATGCATATTCAAAATGCATACCCTGAACAAAACCCTAAACCTTATTATTATCATTAATATTATTTTCATAATTTTATTTATTATTGTTTGACAAAACTATACAAAACTAACATATAATTTTACAAAATTACGTCAAATTTCTCATTCTTTTAAAATTGGGTCAGACTCTCTTATTATTTTCATAAATTATACATCTAACTCTCTCGATTATCTTTATTTAAGGGTATTTGACATGCATACCACTACAAGAAAAAATTACTTTTGTAACAAAATATTTTTGTCTCTACGTGTTAGCTACATGAACTTTAGGGACGAAATTTCGTTACAAATATATTATTTTTTTTGTAGTGTACGCTCAAACTGCTAATAAGTTTCAGAATCTCTATTCTAAATTCTTGAAATTACATTTATACTAATATTTCTTATATTTACCCAAAAAAACAGTCAATATAATCAATGACGAAACTAGAATACTATGAAGGGAGAAGGGAGGCGCAAATTTTTATAATACAAATTATAATAAAATATTAATATTAAAATAATTAAATATTTTAATTAAAATTAATAAAAATTAAAAATTATGAAATTTAAAATATGACTAAAATATATGACTATTTTTTTAAAAAAAAAAATAGATAAATTATGAGAAATTGACCAAAATAAAAATAATTGACATTTTATGTAGAATGAAAGGAGAATTATTTCCCACAGTTTTATTTATTTATATCTTTGTTTTTTTGTTTTTTGTTTTTTAATTTTAGATAGATTAGTGACAATTTGCTAACAAATTTCCAATTTGACCGTCATTTGGGTGTGAATGATTGATGTGGTACAAAAAATAATTTAGCAACACAATTGTTTGTGGATTATTACTCTGGTACAAACATATTTTTTTTCATTGCACTTGAAACTATTATTTTTATAATTTTTATTTATCTAACTTAAAAATATTTATTTTTTATTACAGAAAAAATTATTACATTAATACTAAAATATTTTTTTAAGTTTTATAGTATAAATTATAAATATATCATTTATATATAAAGTACAAAAAAATAAAAATATTAAAATCAACTTACACTTTTTCATTAATAAATAAAATATTATTATTTTTTAATTTATTACAAAAACTTCAAATAACTCATTTAAATTGGAATGAATAGAGTAATAACTTAGTACTATTAGGTTAAAATACTCATTATTAGTGATAATTTACAAAACAATCTGTATGTTCTTTTTTTATTTTAAACTGAAATTGAAATTGATATTATTTTATATAATTTTTAATAAAAGTATATTATTTTTTTTAATAAAATATCACATCAATCCCACTATAAATCAATTTCAAGCCAAAACTAAAGAAATGATGTGGTCAAATTATTATGTTTTGTATTAGGTTTGTGTCTAAACACAAAATACTGAAATAAATAAGATACAAAATTTATTATTTTTTCAAATTCCATAGAACAATAATTAATGTTATATAATATATAACAAAATATCAAAATACTACTATTAATAACATATAATAATAATATAGATTTTATAATATATGTATAGATATATATTAAAGTATGTATATATAATCTAGAGAGAGATGGAGAGATAGAGAGAGAGAGTGTGTGTGAGATATTGAGATCACTACTTGTATCACATTTCACAAAATCCACAAGCCTATTCATAGGCAAATTACAAATGCATTAGTCATTGAAATCAATGACTTGTCAAAGTTAATAAATGACACGCATTTGTGAATGACAAATATTATATTATGAATTGAGTCATAACACTCCCTCTCTTACGTGTCTTAATTGCAATAAATACATCTCGTTAAAAATTTATTATGAAAAAAATTCATTGGGATAAAAATCCTAGTGAAGAAAAAAAAATACGATATTCATGCATTAAAAGTACTCCCCTTGATGGGACATTACTTGAACTCTCGCTCCTCCTGATGTGAACATCACTTGAATTTTTTTAGCCGATGCATCCCAATATTCTTCACTAATTTCTCGAACATTGCGGTCAGTAAAGCCTTGGTCAATAAATCTGCTAAATTCTGGTCCAATCGAATCTAGTGCACATCTATTTCACCATTTTTTCTGGAGATCGTGAGTAAAGAAAATTTTCGGTGAAATATGTTTCGTTCTATCTCCCTTGATATATCACCTTTCAGTTGCGCTATACAAGCTGCATTATCTTCATATAAAATAGTAAGAGTATTATCTTTTTCAGATTTCAAACCACAATTTTGTAAAATGTGTTGAATCATTGATCTTAGCCAAACACACTCTCTACTGGCCTCATGAATTGCTATTATTTCTGCATGATTTGAAGATGTGGCGGTTAATGTTTGTTTAGTGGATCTCCAAGATACCATTGTACCGCCACAAATAAACATATAGCCAGTCTAAGATTTGGCTTTATGCGGGTCAGAAAGATACACATCATCTGCATATACAATCAATTCATGTCGAGATCTTTTTGGATATATTAGGCCAAGATCAATAGATCCTTGAAGATAACGAATAATATGTTTGATTACTTTCCAATGTCGTTGTGTTGGCATTGCACTAAATCTAACTAATAAATTTACAGCAAATGTTATGTCTGGCCTTGTACTGCTAGCCAGATATATTAATGCGTTAATAGCACTTAAATATGGTACTTCACGACCCAGTACTTTCTCATTCTAATTTTTTGATCTAAAAGGATCTTTACTAGGATCGAGAGTTTTAACAACCATTGGAGTACTTAATGAATGTGCTTTATCCATTGCAAATCGTTTCAATATCTTCTGGGTATATGCAGATTGATGTATCAAAATCTTATTTTTCCAAATGTTCAATTTGTAGACCAAGACAGAATTTTCGTTCTCCTGAAATCTTTAATTTCAAACTTTCTTTTCAAATATTCAATAGCTTCTTGGACCTCTTCAGGGGTTCCAATTAAATACAAACCATCCACATAAACCGCTATTATCACAAAATTTCTCTCATTTTTCTTTATAAAAACACATGGGCAAACATAAATATTGGCATATCCCTCTTTAAATAATAATTCACTGAAACGATTATATCACATGCGATCAGATTGGTTGAGCCCATCAGAGACAGAACTACATGGGGGCTAAGGGGTTAGTTCCCTATAACATTATGTATTTTTTATTATTTTGCCCCCCCCCCCCTATTTTTCAATTTTTTTTAATGTTATATTGTAAAAAGTAATAAAATTTTTGTAGTTTTATTGATTTATACTTTTAGGTTTTAATTTTTTTTTTTAGTAAAAATTATTGAATTTTATTAATGTTCTTAAATTTTTCTCTAAAAATTTAATTTTTAGCTATTTTTTCCCTTATTCTTATTTATTCTGTTGCATTGGGGGAAATCCAAATATACAATATTAAATGAAAAAAAAATGAATTGACATTTTTTCCCGCCTTAAATTTTAGGGCCAGTGAAATTTAGGACCGGTTCCGTCACGGGAGCCCATACAAAGACTTTTGTAATTTAATAGAATAACATTCGTTACAAAAAAAATGGCTATTTGTAGAGAAATTTGACTCGCTACAATTTTTTCGTTACAAAAACTATTTTTTGTTTCGGATCGTAACAAATAAATTTTTCGGTTTGGTCAACATTTTTCTTTTGTTACGGTATTTTTTTCGTTACAATTACAATAATTTTAATTTCAAACTAAATCTAAAATAATATATCATATATATACATATATAATACATATATTTTAATATATACATGTTGAAATTAAAATAATTATTTATTTAAAATTAAAATTTTATATATAATTAAAAATTAAAATTAAAAATAAAATTTCAAACACGGTAAAACGTTTTAAATAAAAATTATAATAAAAAATTCAATTAAAAAATATTCTCGTTAAAATATTTGTTTTATTATTTATAAATAAAAATTACAAAATCTATACAAAATATTTTTTAAAATAACAAATTTTAAAAAAAGTATTATAAATAATAATATCGAAATTTTCTTTTTATTAAAAAAATAAGAAAAAATTAAAAATAAAAATAATTTTATTAAAAATATATCAATAAATATTTATTAAAATAATAATTTATATTTTTGTAACTTTGCCCTAATTGATTAGAGAATTTACAGTCGCACATTCTTCTTGTTCGCTCCTCTATTCTTTCCTTTCTTTCTTTTTCTTTCCGACAGCGTCTCCGACCAACCTTTGACCGCCGACCCAACCACCAGTCCGTTACGCAACCGTCGCACCACACAGCCTTGCGACTCCTCTTTGTGTTCCACCGACCAGCGACGCCGCCTACCATCGCGCTCAACCCAAGCTACCGCATTCGACATCTGACCAGCGTCTTCCTCTCCATCAGCCAAGCAGCCGCATTGCCCAGACGGCCAGCCCCGCGCCTAGCTACCTCATGCCGTTGTGACCTCGCTTTCTGTGCCTCCAGCCGCTCCGTGAACCGCCGAAGACCACCGCCCTAATCTTTAATCCTTGATTAGGTAATATTTCTCATCTCTTTGTTCTAATACTTTTAATTCAATTGTTGGAAAATTTTCACTAGGGCTATTGTGATTAGTGTTTGAGATTGCAAGTTGGATTTGAATTTGTTGAATTCCAAGAATTTGATGTGAATTTAGGTTTTAGGATTAGTTCGATTTTAATTCAGTTTTGGTGTATATTGTTTGGGTTGATACTATTGGTGTTATGAATTGGTGCTATTGATAATTGGACGATTGCTCACCATTTGGTAAAGCTGGAATATGTAGGTCAGGTAATTCAAATTTTGGAATCTTAGGCAAACCTGTCTCCAGCTGCAGACAAGCGCCCTATGCTTGGTACCACTTTCCTTTTATGCCAAGAAGTAACATGATGATAAGACAACTATACCTTCCAAGTGCCATTGCTCACTGGTGCTAAACTGAGGTGTATTTTCTTCAAAGAAAAACAATGTGTTTACTTTTTCTTGATGCATTGGTTGTTTACAACAATGTGACATTTATAGAAACTTGACGATGAGAGTCCACCGGGGTGTTATGCATTTGTTGTTAGCAAGGATGATGAGTTAGTTCAACTCCCTTATGGCCATTCTTTTCCAACTATGCATCCGTAATTTATTATTATTTGTTCTACATCTTGGAAGTTTTATTATTATTATTATTATTATTATTATTATTATTATCTGATGGTGAATTGATTTAGGAAAATTAACTTCATATACATTTTTTCCATGGATTCAAAACGGTTGATAAGAAAATCCTTGTGTCTTTGTTGTTTATTTACACATGTTGCTTTTACTTATTCGATCTGCTTAAGATTGTAAAGGTGATCTTTGCACTGCAGTACAGTTGCATCAAATTTATATATGTTGTTGCTTTTACTTATTCAATCTGCTTAAGATTGTAAAGGTGATCTTTGCACTGCAGTACAGTTGCATCAAATTTATTTGGCTATTTTGGTGGATGTATTACTCATTGCTTAAAAGTTTGTATAGCATCAAAAGATAACTATTCAAAGAGAGCATCCCAGTGGGCGATAATATTGTGACATATTCAGTTAGGTTTTGTAATGAATTATGGATTTCATGACTCATATTCTTCATTTTATTTGTTTATCCTTGCATATGATATGGGTTATGTATATGAGGTTTGTATCTAATTTGGAACAGAAATTTGGGCTGAACTTGAGCAATTTTGATTGAAGTTCCACTCATGAATTTATTTTACTTTGTTCCAGATTTAATTTGCTTCCGTTTTTTTAGCTCTTTGGAAGTGTGGATTTGTGGTGTAGAATATGTTATCGTGTCTGAATTAGCTATTATTAACTAAAATTTCACTTTTTAAACATTATTTCTTTGTTATTTTCTTTAAACTCTCTCTATGACTTGTAATGCGTGGTGCTATGTTTCTATTCGTCTGGTATATAGGGAGACGTTTCTGCTAAGCAATAAAGCACTACCTCGACTGTTTTCTTATGATGTATCAACAAATTCAATTAAAAAAGTGATCTTTTATTCCTGTCAATTATGCATTGTTATCTACCAACAAATTTATTCTATAATCATTACTGGATTTCTACAAGGATGCAGACATAATACTGGATTAATCCTAGCAGATTTTTTCTTACAGATTTGATTAGTCACGGCTGTATGGCTATAATTGACTTTATTTCAGGTATGAAAATTATCAAAATCACTAGGAAATATTACTTTCAAATAGGTAGTAAAGCAAAAGTGTAATCAAGCTTGTGTTTTGACAATTCAGTTGTGGAGATTGACTTTTCTTCATTTGTTGTAGTAGTCATGTCTGAATTTATCGCTAGCTGAAGTCCAACTTATTATTTGTCAATTGGTTGTACAATAAAAATTGTTCACTAGCTTTATGGATTGCTTGTATTGATGATTTCATAAGTTTATTCACATTGAGTGTAAATGGTAATCATTATAATGACCTGTTTTTATATCATGAGCTAGGCCAAGTGAAAGGAGCTACATGCATTTATTTCTAATTTGTGGGTCTTTAAGTTTGTTGGTTGATTTATGAAATCCCAATCTATTGCATGGATTTATTTTGTGATTCTTGAGAATGAATTGTTTGCTTTTGCATTATTTTGTTTGTGGGAATTTGTCTGCCCAAAATTTATGGGGCTTGGTATTTACCTGTATTGTTTGAACATGTTTGTCTTGCACTTGAGTATAATCAATTTATATTGCTCAGAACTAAGTTGAATGCATTGGAGAATAACATCATGTATATGCTCAAAAATCAAGCCGATTAACTACATCAATAGTTAGAGAAATGGTTCCGTATTTTTTAAGCTAAAACCTTGGCTTGACTATATCTATAAATTACTTTCTTTTAATTATCAGAAAATATAATATATTTGCTTACGGTAAAGTTTGAGATATCTTGAATACTGAAATGCTACTTAATAATCAATTCAATACTTCGCTCTCATGAGTACATGATATTTAAATCTATGTGCATCACAGGTAGACAGGCTTCAGACGTTGTACAAAAGTTGGGAAGAGGACCCAGATGTTGAGTTTGTAGTTTTGAATATTGTCTTTTTACCTCCCAAGTCACTTGTATTTTATTTTCTTGTTTTCGCCTAACATATGGTTGAAAAATTTTGAAAGGTAGAGAGACAAGGCATTTGCAGTTGGTGGTGATATTGTGTCCATCTATAATATACTGAAAGAAGGTAGAATTATAATTTCCTTGTCTATTATTCAATATTGCGATTTTTCTTTTATAGTTGGATTATTCAGCTAATGAATGTGTCTGAGTGGTTTCTCCTGTATGCATTAAAGTCAAGGGCTCCAATTCGGTAGGATGCTACCTTTGGTTAACTGTTTTATGCCAACACTTTTGGGTTTGGTAATAAAGAGAGATCATAACTTCTAAGTGAGAATAATTTTGCTGCATGTTTTCTGTTGTCCTCGCCTCTTCTCTTATTCATGTCATCAATTTTGTAAAAAATAATTATAGGTTATGTTTTCGATTCATGCATGAAATCTAAAAACTTGCAAGCATTTCTTTTGGATAATATATAGTTTTATATACTTTCTCGGTATGCATTTGAAGCCACATGTGACTATCTCTTAGCTCATGATTGTTTTGTATATTTAATAATGCTGCAGTATCGATCATCCGCTTTAAGATAATGAAATTTTGTGAGTTGCATTGTTTTCGATGATATGCACATGTTTTCTTTATATGTACGTAGGTTATACCATTAATATAGTAAAGATTTTTTCACAGCTGCTACCGTTCCGGAGGCTGCGTTAATTCACGAAAGATGTCTGAAGTGCAAACACTCTGTGAGTTTGTCCACATCAAGCCAATCGACTGGACATTCAAGGATGTACGTAACCATTTTTATAACTTTCTATTAGATTATAACTTAACCAACTCGCAAGTAAATTCTTATATAATTTTTCCCTATGTTGGCAGCTTGTTCGTCATGCGTAACTGCCGTGTATATTCACTTTGACGCTGCATGGGGCGATGCAACGTTGCATGTAATTCTATGATGATAATTTTTGTTTGTGGATTGATACTGACTAAGTCCTTTACGTAGGTTGAACTTGCATATATATGTTGCTTCCTTTTGTGTGTTTGTTGCTATGCTTTGCCTTTGGATTGTATATGTTGGTTGTATTGCGAACTAGTTATGTTCCTAGACAGTGTGTACTTTGTGCTACTAATGGTTGTATTGCGAACTAGTTATGTTTTTTGGTTCGGATACTATTTTTTTTGTTATTACTAAAAAAATAAGGATACTCTTTTTGTTGCGAAATTGTGTTCGTTACAAATACCACTAAAAAAAATTATGAATTTCATTTAAAATATTTTCTGACAATCAGTTTATTGTAACAAAAATTATACCGTAACAAAAGCCATTACAAATGCATGAACATTTATTGTAACGACGCTTTTATTACGAGAAACATCCGCTACAAATAAATCAAAAAATATTGTTAGCGTTACAAAAACCGTTACAAAAAGATTTCTCACGCGCGTTGATCATCTACTTTTTGTTACGGAAAATGTCGGTACATAGACTTTTTGTAACTCGAATATATACACCGGTCAAAATCCGATACAAAATCGTTACAAATAGCTTTTTATAACGAAAAATGGCCATTTGTAGCGGTTTTAAAGCCGCTACAAATAGTCATTTTTTTTTTGTAGTGATTGTTTTGACTTTAATTTATATGCATTAGTTGGCTTGGGCTCACGCTTACTACTAATTATTATATTTAACAACTAAATTACAACTGACTATAAATTCAGAATGAAAATATGAAGAATAAACATATATAGAGTGTTAGACAAATAAATTTGTGTGTACCATTTCATTTGAAGACCAAATGCCTATTTATAGGCAATGTATAATTGGGTGAGTCATCGCCTATAGCTTCATGGCAAGATAATAAAAGGACACATATCAACGCCTACATGCACAATCACATCTAAACGATTTATGTCATAATAATATATATTTGTTAGGAAATAAGTATTTCAATATAGAAAATGACAAAAATAATATAAAATCAAAATATAACATACACAAAAGATATAAAATTATTTTGATTGTCATGAATTTGAAATTCTTTTTTCCAAATTGATCTATATATCCAATCGTTTGCATTTGCATACCAAATAAAATACATATATGATTGGAAACACAGTATGGTAAAATATCAGCCAATTCTTCCCACAAAATCAACACTTTTATATATGAACTTCATTCATAGAGCATTATACATACCATAATAGTAAAAAAAAAAAAAAAAAAATGGATCGACGAATAACTTACTACGTACAAATATTGTGTATTAAAAATATGTGAAAAATAAATATACAAGCAGCCCCTCATGCATGTTTAATAAAATTATTTTACACAATAACCTTTTTTTTTCGAAAACATCGAATTCTAGTAGATAATACATATGACTCCATTTAGATAGAAAGGAAGAAAGATAGATTATATATATATATATATTGTGTATGCATTGATGTGTATCTAGTGTCCTAATATGCGAATGCGCGGGACATCCTCTTCGAGCTCTTCGTTGGTTTCCTCGTCGAACTTTTCAATGTTGTCATCCCGGTGTCCGAACACCTTGGCCTTGCCTTTCTTTGGAACTTTGCAATCATCATTGTTGGGGTCGCATTCTTCCGCGGCGCTATCTCTTTTGGCAACGAGGAAGCAGAACAATGTTGTCAATATCAGGATGACCAGCAAAGATCGTGGTTTGAGCATGGCAGCCATTTGTAAGAATGTATAATCAAGCTGTAATATTTATGTCCCTCTTTGAAACCCTAAATAAAATTTCTGGGATTTGGATATGTGGGATGTGTGTAAGATTATGCTTTAATTTCCCTATTGTCTTGAAATGAATTCTTGATAGAGAATATGCATATATATATATATATAGATATATATACTTAGAGGATTAATTGGATATGTTGTAGAGAAGTTTGAGGGGGTCTTTGGTTGGTTGACCATATGTATATATAATTTCTAGGGTTCATATTGGATCCTCAACCCTAATTATTTGGAAAAGCATTGGTTAATTTGTTTATAGTTGAGGAATTACTAATTATTAAGTACACACATATAGATCTATAGACATAGGGTGTGTTTGTTTGAATGTTTGAATTTTCGATTAAGATTATTTAATATTTTTGGGGGAAAATTTTACGTGAATGGTAGAAATCCACACAAATTCTTCAAACACACCCATAAAATATTTCTTTATATAGAGTAATGACTACAATATAGATATCGTCCGTTTCAGTTAAGGTTTAAGAATCGCATGTTATAATCTGAACTGTCAATTTATATTAATATTTTTTCTGATTTTTTTATTTTAATTTTTACAATTAATTTTGATTCTAATTTTAATTTAATAAATCTTTGTGTTATTGAAAATATATATATAAATAATTTTTTAAAATTTATAAAATAATTATTTATTAGTTTATTAATTAAGAATTAAAGGTAAGAATGATTTAATGTATATTACAATTTAAATAGTAAAAAAACCCAACCAAATGGGTCGTTTGAACCGAAACGGCCGGTTTGGGCAGAGCATATATATAATTATATTTATAAAGTTACTAAATTACTCCCTCCGTCCCATGTCTCTGCTACATTAGTAGATAATTAAAAATGTATTAGTGAAAATAATTATCCTATAATATATATAATTATAAATTAATATTAAGATAACTAATTAGTTTAATTAAAATTTTTAAAAAAATAAAATTAAAAAGTTTAAAATGAGATTAAAATGTATAATAATTTTCCAAAAAAGAAAAATGGCATGGTATGTGGGACGGACAGAAACGGACATGGTACGTGGGACGGAGGGAGTATATTTATAAAGTCACTGTAATTGTTCTTAGGAATCTATTTTTACCAAAAAAATATATGTATATTTTATATAAAATATATGTATAATATTAAAATATATATTAAAATTTATTTGATTGTACTGTATTTAAATTTGATTTTTTAATTAAAATATATATATAAAATATATGTATAATATTAAAATATATATTAAAATTTATTTGATTGTACTGTATTTAAATTTGATTTTTTAATTAAATATATTTTAATATGATATTTTATTACATAAAATAATATATTTTTATTGACAATAAAATCAAACAAATTCAAATAAAATAATTTAGTAATAAAAAATAATTAAAAAATATTAATTATAGATAAAAAAAATAAAAATTAAATTAAATTAAATTAAATAAAAACCATTTTTCAGGACCTATCAAAACTTTGGAACGATCCTCACCCCACTCCAACCCCGAGTTAATAGGGCTGCAGGTAGTGAAGCAAAAGGTTATAAATAAAAATAAATGATCTTTTGAAAACATATTCTAGCAGTATACTTTTATTAAAAACAATAAAATAAATAAAAATAATTAAAGAAAACAATATCTTTAATTATGTTTTAAATGTAAAATTATTAATAAATATTATAAAATATTGATTATTTTAATATTCTTTTCATACATAATATAGCTAGGAAAAAAATTAATTTTGGTCCCAATATAAATTAAATTTATCAATTTTGGTCTCAATATAAAAAACTCATCAATTTTGGTCTCAATATAAAAAAAGGAACTCATCAATTTTTTTAGTTTCAATATAAACAATTTCAATCAATTTTGGTCCCATTATAAACAATTTTAATCAATTTTAGTCTCACTGTTAAAAAACTAACGGAAATTGCTGACGTAGACATGACGGAGGTGACGTGACAGTTGACCTGGAAAGTACACGGCCATGTACAATTATACACGGTCATATTGTTATATGGCCATGTATATTTCAGTGTATAATTATACATGACCATGTTGTTACACGGTCATGTATAATTATACACGGCCATGTATATTTTTATTTAAGTTTAAATTTTTATTTTTTTCTTAAAAAAGATATTTTGAATTTAAAATAGTTGATATAGTTAAAATGGACAAAAGCAATAGTAATTATAATATAATAAAAATTTATCAATTTTAATTCAACTATAAAAATTTATAAGATATATTCTTTTGAAAGGTTTTGTTTAAAATTTTATTATTCATAAAAAATAAATAAATAAATAAATAAATTCTCTTACAAACATTCAATTACATAACTATTTTTTAATTTTGTATATTAGAGTAGTATTAAAAATTAATTTATTATTTCAATACATTAATTGGATGTTTGTAAAAGAAACTTTTTTACTAAACAGTAGAATTTTAGACAAAATCTTCCAAAAGAACGTACTCGATAAATACTTATATTTGAACTATAATTGATATTTTTAAATATATTATAATTATTATTGATTTTTTTTGTCATTTTAACTATATCAACTATTCTAAATTCAAAAAAAAAATTAAAAAATATAACAAAAACTTAAAATTTTAGACCGAAACAGAAAGGTACACGACCGTGTAGAATTATACATGGCCGTGTATCAACATGGTAATGTATAATTATACACTTAAATATACATGGTCATGTAACAACATGGCAGTTTAAAATTGTACATGGTCATGTAACAACATGGCCGTTTAAAATTGTACATGGTCGTGTAACAACATGACCATGTATAATTATGCACTAAAATATACATTGTCATATAACAACATGGCCGTGTATAATTGATTGTACATGGCCGTGTAACATGGTCATGTATAATTATACACTGAAATATACATGGTCATGTAACAATATGGCCGTGTATAATTGTACATGGCCGTGTACTTTTTAGGTTAGCAATTTCCGTTAGTTTTTTAACGGTAGGACCAAAATTGATTCAAATTGTTTATATTGAGACTAAAATTGATTAGTTTTTTATATTGCGACCAAAATTGATAAATTTTTGTTATATTGAGACCAAAATTTATGAGTTTTTTATATTGGAACCAAAATTGATTTTTTTCCCTATTTAATATTTTGAAAATTATTTATAATAATATTTTATTGGTCAGTGGAGTGTGTAAAATTGTTTTTGACATTTTTGTCTTTAAAAATACAAATGAAATTAAATTAAATGAATAATTTTATAAAAGTTAATACTAGTTCGATATTTAAATATAATTATTTTTAATATAATTAAAAATTGATATTTTTAATGGAAACCCAGAAAATAATAAAAATAATACATTAAATTGAGACAAATAGAATATTTTTTAGGTCATCTCAAGTGGATAATATTTTGTTATATATTCAACTAGTGCCGATGAAACCCAACCTAGCTAGAAAATTCGACACGAAATAGTTGGGTTTGAATAAAAAATTAATTCGATTATGTATACAGGTTGACGCGAACTCGATACGAAATAATTAGCTTTAGATCTAAGATTTTGATTCAATTATGTATACGAGTTTACACCAATCCGACACGGCAATTAAATTATAATATATTAATATTAATTAATATTTATTATATATGTAAAATATTTCTAATTTAATAATTAGCTTATATATAATTTTAATTAATTTTAATTTTAAATAATCCAACCTGATTCAATATATACATTATACTAGAAACAAAAATTAAATTGGATTTGAATCAAAATATTTTGACTCAATTATGCATACGAGTCAACACGAATCCAATACTATAATAAATATATCAATATAAACCCGGCATAATAATAAACATGTCGAATTAAGATTAAGTGATTTAACCCGTTTAGATATTTAACCGAGGATCTATCGATTGTCAGATTTATATTCAACAATCTATATCTATATTCAACAATCTATATATAATATTAAGTAACCATTTGTTGGAATTTGAAATAAAATATTGATTTAAGATTTTGTATAAATAGTATTTATAAGAATAAATATTCTCTCCGTCTCATTGAAAGATTGTCATTTTTTATTTTCGTGCGTTCCAAAATAAGGTTATCATTTGTACTATCTGTCTAACATAATAAATATCCTTCAAACTTATACTATATTATACAAATGTCATTACTTTTATATTACACAATACTAATATGGGTATTTTCGTCTTTTTCCCAACTCATTATAATACAAATATTCAAAAATTTACACGTGTAAAATGTAAATGGCAACTTTGCACCGGGATGAATAGCGTAATATATTTTCATTGTGCAGAAAAATAATATTAATTTCAATTTAAAAATCACAAAAGAACAAATTCAGTTGATTATTGTGAAATATATTAAAGATTATATTTTTAAAAAAATGACAACCCAGGATATTTAAAATTTTGAATCAATTTATATTATATATTTATTTTAAAATACTTATTATTTAACTTCTAAAATATAACTCATTTTTATATTAAATATGAGTATATAAAAAAAATCATATTTTTAATAATTTTCACCCGCAGGTAGATTCCACTTAGAGCTGGCAATTGGTTGATTCGTGTCGGGTTGAATACTTTAAACGTGTTAAATTACTCAACCTTAACCCAACGTTTATGATCGTGTCGGATTCATGTTGACTTGTTTATTATCGTGTCGGGTTCGGGTTGACTCGTGTTGACCCGTATCATAATTAAGTTGAATTTTTTTATTCAAATTAAATAATTTTTTGTTATATTGTCGAGTTATGTTAATTTTTATTGGTTTGAGCGTAAATTAGGTTGAATTATTTAAAATTGAACTTAGTTTAAATTAATTTATGACAAAATTATTAAATTATAATTATTTTACATATATAATAAATATATTAATCAATATTACTATATTATAATCGGGTTGTCGTGTTGGGTTTTAGTTGAGAGCCTCAACTGTAACCCGACCCGTTTATTATCGTATCGGGTTCGTATCAACCCGTATACATAATCGGATTGAAATATTTAACCCAAACTCAATTATTTCGTATCGGATTGTCGTATCGGATCAATTTTTGTCAGCTCTAATTCCACTCCACCGTGAGTTGTTGACAAATAATTCGCTTATTTAAGGATTATGATGGTTGATCGAAAATTCAGTATGTGCTAATTAAATTTATAGTTATTTTCATTTAATAATAATAATAATAATAATAATAATAATAATAATAAGGTATAGGTCGTTATTTTCAATTTGGATTTTGGACCCATAAAAATTGGTTAGGGTGTCATCAATTGGACCCGGAACATAAATTGAAGCCATCCTTTTCGCAACAACGCAGCTGCCCTACTGCCACCAGCTACGTTGAGATCGCTGTCGACATTGACATTGGCAATGCATTTCACACCCCACCCCACCCCACCCCACCCCTCCCGGATGACCCCAAACTGCGGCATCAGCGTGTAATATTTTACTTTAATCTATAAAAAAAAAAATTAGTACCAATAAAATTTCAAAAATATTAGTCCAACATAATAATTGATTAATTGCGCTAATAATATTAAAAATATCTTTACAACTTAAAATATACTCCCTCGGTCTACGTATTTAAAAAATAATAATATTTTAATTATAGTAAGTATGATGGTAAAAATATTTATGAAAAAAAATAGAATATTTAATAAAATATTAATTTTATAATTGGACTGTCTCAAAATAGAAATACGTAAATATTGTAAGTGGACAGAGTATATCACATAAATATTATTACATTTATATCAATCAATACTAATATGATTTTAATCTTTTTTATTTTATTTATAAAATATGCGAATATAATACTAATATTTGAAATGAATAAGAGAGAGCTCAGAATTGATTAATCAATTATTCCAACTAATGAAACAAACATAAATTCATATGATAGCATACAACGGGAAAAAACACGACTAGACTCACTGCTCAACTGGTTTTTATTCGACAACACACTCAATTCATTCTTCTATCAAAAGTCTTACAGATCGATAGATATAACAGTGTCTCTAACCTCTTCTTCAGTTCCCCGACTGTCGCAGCTCCGGCCGAACAAAGTCTGCATCCGGGGGCACGGAGATGTCGACAGTGGGCCTCAGCTGAGCGCACACTTCAATGGCACCGTGCACAGGGTCCGACAGGAAGTTGCTGATCAGGTCCCGGCTGATCGGGGCGCCGTTGTCCACTGCCACTAGCGCCTGCTGGGTGAGCATGTAGTCGAATCTCGGGGCCCATTTCCTCGACCCCAAACGGGCCGTTGTTGAGCAGTTATCAACCATGAAGGACACTCCCCGCGCATGCATGAACGGGTTCAGCGAATCCACGGCCTCGATCACACTCTCGTTTATAATCTCCGAGTATGAATGCCCTTTCCTCCTTAATATCTCAATCTGGTTCAGACAAAGAAAGAATCAAAAATGTTCATAATAAATGCTCATATGCCGTCGAGAAAAACAACCGACTCACCTGAGCCATCATCAATGCCACAAAGACTCCTGCGGTGAAAGGATAGAGAGGTCCTAAGTCTCCGGCGGGACGTACTGCCCGAACACGCTCGCCGACTTTCCACATCCGGGTTTCGTCGATTTTCCCCATTGGGAAAGCAGGCAATCCCTCCTTTTCCTGCACCGAGAAAAGAAAAATTATACATATCAATAAGGACAATATGGGAACTTCTACAATCAAATCGAGAAGAACGGTTCGACGACATACGTAGAAGCGACGACCGGCCAAGACAACACTCTTGATTTCACTCCCAGTAGCGACGTCTTCATAGCACTCGTACAATATATCCATGCAGGGGTAATACGAAGCACTATATGCTGTTTCAAAGTCCTTCTTTCCTTCTTCGGACAATGCATTGTAGACGGCCAGCATACCCTGTGAAGAACCAAAAATAGAAAAATAAGAATCGACCGTAATGAGAGGATATAGACAGTCTTGAAGATAATATACATGCACACAGCCGAAAATATCGAACCTTTGCTGAAATGGTTCTAGATATTATTCCCGTAATACTCTCCACGGTGTTCTTGTACGCAGAATCCTCATCCATTCCATTTTCCGTGTACCTTCGGAATAAACACTCAACCACGCCGTGCACAGCCCCAAGTAAGATGCCTATAAATTGAGTCGGATAAATCATTCAAAATCAACTGGCTGATAAGATTTTAAATTTCTGGGGCAAGAAATGTTACCTCGCTCTCCAAAAATGTCGCTTTTGTACTCCTGCTCCAGTGTAGTGGCAAATGTGAAAGGAGAACCAAGTGCAACCGACCATCCAAGGGCAACATCAGTAGCTCTTCCATCAACATCCTATACGAGAAGCAGTAACAAGTTTAAAATTGGCATAAGACACATGAAGCCATAAAGCATAAACTCAAGTCTCAAAGAGTTGGCATGGCATATAACTAATTCTACAATCGAATAAGGAGCTACGAACCTGATGGACAGCAAAGCTTGAGTTGATGCCAGCTCCATTGACCTCTTTCCCTTGCACATATAACCTTCTCACAGAGGGTCCCATCCCCTTGGGACATACAGCTATGACGCTAATGTTTTTGGGAAAGTCGAGACCTTGTGACTGCAAATGGCCCAACAAGAAGCCATGGGAAAGTCCAAGAATGCTATTTGGCTTCATGTGTGAGAAAACCTTCTCATAGTTATCAGCCTGCAAAACCAACATCAGTTAAGAATAGGTCTAAACCAAAATCAAAACGGCAAAGTTGGAACAGATATTTGATGAATAATTTAGATGCAATCATTTGTCCAACCTTGACAATCATGCCACCATAAGTTCAATAAAATAATCAACACAAATCCTAACCAGTTATTACAGAAAAGTAATTAAACAACGGAAAATCAAGAAGATCAACACCTGAGCTGCATCTGATATCAATAGTAGCACCAAATCACTGCCAGAGATGGTTTCCCATATGTCCCCAAGAGTCCCATTTTCTTCAGAGAAACCAGCATTACGGGCCTCTTCAAAAGACTTAGAGCCCTTCCTTAAACCAATCTGCATTCAGAAGCAAACATGAGCATTAACACCTTGAACGGTTACCATCGGAACTTTTCAACAGAAAATGTTATCACAATGCCGGATATTAGAAAAGGAGTTACCTTTACAACAATATCAGATTTCACCTCCGCAAGGGAATCCTTTATATTTTGTGCCTGAGCAGGTCCCTGCACAAAAGCAAAAAATACTCCATTATAGAGATAGAAGAACAATGAAACAATACAAGCCAAAAAGAAAAAAAGAAAAACCCATTCAATACACCAAAACTTATTTAACCAAATCTTGAGAACAGATTAGCAAGTAAAAATCATTTGTGCTAGATCACAATTCAGAAACAACTTAGCAACTTATGCCACTTAACTGTTACACAACCGTATCGAGTCAACAAGAAAATTGTGGCATTTGCATATAGACCCATACTAAAAAATAATAATAATAAAGTATAAAGGCATCTTATATGCAAATATTTCTTTGAAGAGGAAAAACAACATACCTGAGAGCCCCAACCAATGACTCCAATCTGTTTTATGCCCTTAAATGCATCAGGCAACAGCTTGAACAAATTTCTACCTCCTCTAACAATGTACTGAAAAAAATCACAAGAAAATCTTATCAGTGAAGGATAAAAACAGAATTAATCCCAAAACAAATAGAAAGGGGGCAATCATCTTGACTGTATTATTGCATAAATCAGTAAACTCCAACCAGGTATCGATTCACCAAACAAATAAGAGGCGTCTTAACATGTTGCAAATATTTAATCATCGGAAATGGAAAAAAAAAATGCTGGTTAATTTAAAAATATATATTATTTAAAAACGTGGAACTGAAGGATATAAATTAATACAGAGGTTATAAGAAGGTCAAATCTCGTTCTAATTAGCAATTTGGCTTAAAGCATAAACAGCATAGCGGACAGACAAGGGTTAGGCCATCTGCACTATTGAAGAAATTAAATCATTACAACTAAATCAGATCGAAGAATCTGTAAATCCAAAGACCTTCCAGGAAAGATACACAAATAAAAATCAAAATCCAATCCAAAGCGCGCAGCCAAAATATACCTCCTCGTGGCCACTGAGGTTGATTTTCTCCTTGGTGAAAACTTTCGTGTCGAAATCCAGCGACAAAGGAGACCTGACGGCTGGAGCCGACACCATACGAGCAGCCATGGCGGAACCGGAAGCAGCAGACCGACATCGTGAGGACACGGCTGCTCGGAGCTGCTTGAGTGAAGGAGACGAAGAAAAGAGCACGCCTAAAGAACGAGAAGAGAGCTTCGAGGATGGCGTTTTGGATGCAGCGGTGAGGGAGGAGAAGGAGCCTGTTGGAGCAGCCGCCGCCATTGCTCTCTGAAGAGAGACTGCTGAAACCAAATTGTGTAAGAGAGTTGAGAAAGATAGGGTTTACGAATATATATACACAGGCAGATTTCTAATAAATGTGATTAAACAATTAGAAGATGGAGTTTCACTGTTTTATCAATTTTTCTAATATATTTTGATATAATATTTAATATTAAAAAATCGCTATATATTTTTTTTTTAAGGGTGTGTTTGTTTGGGGGTTTGGATTTTGAGTTGGGATTTGAATAGTAAAAATTTTGAATTTGAATAGTTGTATGATGTGATATAAATAGGGTTTGATATGATGTTTTGAATGTAAAATTGATTTTTAGTATAATATAAAAAATGAAAAATAGGTGTTTGATTTGATATTTTTGAGGAGAAAAAATTGGATGAATAGTAGAAATCTACCAAAATCCTTCAAACAAATGCACCCTAAATATAAAGCCAAATAATAAAATAAAACTATAGTCTTAGTTGCAGTTATGTTAGGTACAAAATTTTATAAATATTGATAACTAATAATAAAAAAATACAAGTAGAAAGATTTTTTTGTCTTGTATTAATATAAAAAATAATGACAATTATATAATAATAAAAAAAACATAAATAATTTTATAATAATATGATTATTTATAAAAATAAAATTATTATTTTTAAACTAACAAAAATAATAAACGAAACTATTGTATTGAGATAGAAAAAAATATCCTCCTTAGGAGACAAATAAGTGTATACTTATATATATAACTAGTTTACATATATTACCGTGGGTTCATATATCATACAAATATAAATATATATATATATATATATACTCCCTCCGTATTAAAAATATAGTCTCATTATGTTGTACACGGGGATTTAAAGAATATTGATATTATATTGGTAGTTAGTAAAAAGTATAGACAAAGAACTTTTTTGCCCTCGTGAGTATATTAGTAAAAGGTAGTGGCAATTGTGTAATAATAATGAAAAAGTATGAATAATTTTATGGTGATATGATTATTTATGAAAATAAGATTATTGTTTTGGGACATACAAAATTGATAAATAAGTATATTGTATTTGAGCTAAAGAAGTATATATTTGTGGATAATTTGATTTATTTTCTATTATTTTCATAGGTTGTCCCCATTTATATAGAAATTGCTTTAGTTTTGAAAATTTCTATAAAATTTGAAAATATTAAAAGTATTTGTATAAAATGTTATTATGTATTTGATAAAATATTTTTGTAAAAACAAATATTATAAATAAATATTATTAAAAATTTTAAAATATGTATAAAAATATAAAATTTTGAATTTGTTCTCCATAAATATTATTTAAAAAATATTATATATATTTGTATTAATATAAGTGTATATTAATATATATATATAAAGAATCGTTCAAATATATATTAAATATATATGTGAAGTATAGAAAATTGTGTATAAAATATTAAAATAATGAATGTATTTAGTATATTAATATTTTTTTTTAAAAGAAAAGGTGAAAGAACAAAAAGGCATAATTATCCTAAGTTATAAAAATTTTAAAGAAATAGTAATTGCTGAAAACGAAGTACTCCCTTCGTCCCATAAGAAAGTATTCATTTTTTTATTTTAGTCCGTCCCATAACAAAGTATTCATTTTCTTTTCTAGTAACTGTACTATCTACCTAACATTACAAATACCCTTACAACTTACAATATATTACACAAATATCATTACCTTTATATCACACATACTAATAAGGTTAGTTTAGTTATTTCTATTTTATTCCTACTATATCCCAATATAATACTAATATTTCTAAAATTACGTACAAAAAACAAATAGATATTTATTTCCGGGACGGGTAGGCGCGGTAGTGCTATGTATAGGGTGGTTGGTTGGTACGATTTTGATTTGAGTTATAAGTGAAATTATATTTTATTTTTTATTTTTAAAAAAAGCATACTTCCGTTTTATGATAATGTATTTATTATTATTTGTATTATTACGTTTACTATTAAAAATAATTTTATATTTATACAGAGAATGTTTGTTTGGGGATTGAAATTTAAATACACTATTAATTCTATTTTTTTCCTCAAAAATATTAAATTAAATAGATATTTTTTATTTTTTATATTATATTAAAAATTAATTTTAAATTCAAAATATCACGTCAACGTCTATTTATATCACATCATACAATTATTTTAGTTCAAAATTTTTACTATTCAAATTCCCCCTCAAAATTAAGACCAAACAAACAACACACCCCATAAGCTTTTGTTTTGGGTTATATCTCCCATTTTTTACTGCCTGCTTTGTTTTTAATCTAGGTGGCCCGTCACTTTCAAATTTTTTTGATTCGATGTATTTGTATTTATTTATTTTTTTGCTTATAGATATTTAAATAATAATTATTATTAAATACCTATTACGAATTTTAAAAATTAAAAATAGCTTTATTGGTATTATATAGTATAAATATAATAATATTTATAAAAAGTAAGTTTGGGTGTGTGGACTGTGAGTTGAAATTTAAATAATAAAAATTTTAAATTTAAATAATTGTATGATGTGATGTTTAATTTGATATTTTTTTAGAAAAATGATATAAATAATAGATTTAAAATCCAATTCTCAAATAAACACGCAAATAAAATAGATAAAGAAGCCCAACTATAGATAATTAATAGATAGATAAATATGTTTTTTCTTAAAATACAGTAACAAGCAGGCCCAATAAAAAGAAGTAAGCGCTGGGTCGGTAGATTTGGCTGTCGGTTGTCTCCAACCGACACCAGACAACTGACGTCAAATCATACGTCAAAATTTGGCGTTGCTCCTATTTTTATCTTTATTTTTAAAAAAAAATAATTTACTGTCAAGGCGGAAGCTGCGGGTTCGAGCCCCGCCAGTCCCGACGGAAAATTTGTTATTTTAACTTTTAATTTTTAAATTTATTTTTTATTTTTAAAATTTTTTTAAAAAAAATTATTTTAAATTATAAAAATAAAAAGTTGTTTAAAATAATAGGAAAAATTGAATATTTGAAAAATAACAGTAAAAAATGGAGTTATGATTTGAGTAAAATTACTATAGCAACTGCATATTTAGAATTAAATCTGGCTAAATAAAGTTGATAGGTTGGAAATAGCTTTAGTGGCATAATCTTCAACGAGTTTAGGGTTTAGGGACAACAATATACTGTGGATTTTGTTATTGTGCAAATCAGCACAAAATAAAGGGTGCGTTCTTTTAGGCGATTTTCTTCTAATTTTATATACAAATATTCTACACTCAATTCCCCTCAAAATCCTATTACTTCATACTTTATACTCTACTTCCCTTCTATAGCAGTTTACTGTCTTTTAAAAAATGGTTAATGTAGCCCCATTCCATCATTGCATATTTTTTTTTAAAAAAAAAAATTATACTCTCTTTGTCCCGTTGGAAAGGTAACATTTGCTTTTTGCACGTAGATTTTTAAATATTAATATTATATTACATTATAGTAAAGAAAGACAAGAATACCTCTATTAATATGGTGTAATATAAAAGTAATGACATTTGTGTAATACTCCCTCTGTTCAATTTCTATTGTCCTAAAGTATATTTGCACGGTTTTTTAGATGATTGTCTTTTTGTTATGAATTGACAAATTTGACCTTAATTGTATAGTAGAGATTAAAAGTAATAAATGAATAGAAGGTAAAAATGTAAAATTTATGTTTAAAAAATGAAATTGGACAATAATTATTGGACGTCCCAAATAAGAAAGTAGGACATTAGTTTGTGGACGGAGGGAGTATATTGTAAGTTGAAATGATATTTATTATATTAAATAGGTAGTACAATTACTAAATTAGGAAATAGTAACTTTGTTTTGAGACGGACGAAAATGAAAAATGGTAACCTTTCAATGGGACGGAAGGAGTATATATATTTAATATATATGTATAATAAAATAAAATAAAATTCAGCATGTGTTGTGTTTGTTTAGGATTGGAATTTTTGTTTGGGGTTGAAATATTAAAAAAAAAAAAAGAATTGAAAAATAATAATATAATGCGATATAAATGAGAGTTGATACGATGCTTTAAATGTAAAATTAACTATTAGCATAACGTAGAAAAAATGTGTTTAATTTTATAATTTTGAAAAAGAAAATTGAATAAATAATACAAATTTGCGAGAATTCACATCATCCAAAAAATAAAAGAAAAAAAATATTTTTCCAAAAATTAAATTTAAATTTAACTAATAAATATCAAAATCAAACATCACTTTTAATTATTATTTATAATTTCTTTAACAATATTAAATATCATTAATTTCAAACTATCACATCAATTTATCATTTTTTCAATAAAATCATTACAAAATTCAAACCCCCGAATAAACAACTTAAAAATCCATACTTTAAAATCCTCCAAACTCTAATTCTAAAATCCAATCCCCCAAACAAACACACCCAAAATACGATAGCAACGGGTTTTGATCTTATCAATGGAAATCTTCGGATCCAAGGAGAAATTCTCTATGACGGCTTTGTTACGAGCAATCTATATATAATAGATCTAGACAACAAATCACACACGTCTAAGCCAGTGGCAAAACTAGATTTCGAAGTTAAGAGGGCAGAGTTGGGTAAACGATTTCGATCTTTTACGGTATTATTTTAGATTTTAGTATATATTTAAAATTGTTAACAGTCGTTATTATCTTCAAATTGATGGTTGAAAATTTATTTTAATGAAAATTAAAAATTTTGTAAAATGCATGCTAATTAAGTTCTCTTTTACTACTTCAATTATATATATTTTTTATTTATCTTAGTATAATGGCGATGAAAAAGAAAAAAAAAAAAAGTAGATAATGCAATGAGGTGTTTACAGTAAAAAAAAATTATATATTTTATTTATATATTAATATAAATTTAAATAAAATTGACAAAATTTATTTGTTTAGTATTTTGATTTGATGTATTTTTTCTGTGAAATAATAAAAAATAGTATCGATAATATAAAAAATAATATTTTATTTTAAAAGTTGTATAAAAAATAGAGCAAA